ATATTTGAACAATGAGGATTAAAACACCGAACGGACAGATATCTGATATTCTGATATATTCTATTGTACCTAAATAGAATAAGTCGAACAACAGAACAAACAATAATAACGCGACACTGCACGCGTATACAGTACACTCAATGATTATACACAAATATATCGTAATACCTGTGTTCTATACGAACCAACGTCTGTCTATATATTCGTTATATATGTAACAATAACTTTGAATTTGTAATTTTTCTAAAATAAATTAGATGTTGGAAAGTATATATATGATTTAATGTACTACATGCGTAATTGGTCGTATTTATTCTAGTTATTATTATGTGATATTATAATTTATAGGTAATTATTATTGCAGTGTACAGACTACAGGTACCTCGTGCTTTGACATCATCGTAATGCCATAAAGTCGGTATTGGCTTTTATTATATATACCTGGGTATACAGTAGAATATACGCGCCCCCCTACACACACACGCCGAACCGTATGTCGGGTAATTTTTCTCTGGGAAAAAACAATCGATAACTTACAATTCGTTTGATTGCGGTAGCGGCGGTGGCAGGACGCACTTAGATCGAGACTTTCACTGTATGTATACTGCAGGGTGTACCTACATAGATATAATGGATGTGTTCGAGGAGGGCTCGCAGCGTAAAACTTATATATTTATTCTTTTTTTATGGGGTGCGATATATACTCACACACAGTACACGCACACACATGTTGTTCTACCTATGTACACTCTTCGCAAGAATTTTCTTTGGCTCTTGATGAGCAACTATATATATATATTTATATTACACGTAAAGAATAAACGCTTACTATACAGACATATAGTAATCCGCCGCAAAGTTGCCCTCTGCTGTGCGTCCTTATCGGATTCCAGTCGCGACTCGTAAACGGATTTTTCTCGTTTGCCAGTTTATTGACGATGGACCGATTGGCCGTCGTCGAATCGCTGTAATTCCGTTACAATAAAATGGATAATGTCTGTCCAACGACCTACGATTATGTACTTAACTAGTTTTGTCTCCTTCTATTTTTATCTTCGAGGCAACCGAGGTAGAGATAATTTGCGGTTTTTTTTTATATATTTAAGTGTTACTATATAGACATAATCTTTCCTTCTAATCTATCGCATAGGTGATGCACATTTGGAAAATACTCATCATATGCTTTTGACGGACCAAATAGATCTAGTGTAAAAATAGTTTGATATTCAAGTTGTATCTTCTCGAATAGGTATATACGCAGTAAATACTATATAATAGATGATATATAATATTATGATACAATAATACATAATTATGTAGAATGAAAATATTTGTATAATGCACTCTATTAAATATTATATGTATGACAGTGTTAAATGAATACAAAACGACAAAACTTACAAGTTTTAATGTATTTAAATCTGTTTTATTCTAATTAATTCTTCAAATCAACACCAAAATAATAATATGACATATACAACGATGGGAAACTTATGTTTAAAATTTGAATTAAGTTAATATTAAATTAGAACTTATAATATTATGTTATACTCTGCACGCTCGTATATTATAACATCATATCTTACTCATTTATAAAAAGAGAATAGGTATACAATATACATCGTACACTTCAGTTCATTTCTTTGTGCATATTTATTGTGACAGACATTTTCTTTTTAAAGAATAATATACTATGATATTTTAAAGATACCTATAAATTATATAATTTAATATTATTATCATATTATTATAGGAGGTCCATTATCCATTTGGAGTAAATATTCTCGAGAACCGAGCAGTTTATAATAATCTTCGCCGTTTATCTTAAATGCAGTTGACAGATGGGTGAAAATCTTACGTTAACATAATATTTTGAAGGCGATGATAATATATTCTCTAAACCGTTTTAAAATTCTATTTTCCTATACTGAACGTACCGCGGCCCCTACGGGTGACATGCACCACACACGAATACCCATTACGATATTGTGTATACATGGTATACGGTATACCTCCACAAACACACATCGGTGACTGCAATACAAATATAACCAAAGCAGCGTAAAAAAATTGTGAAAATTACGTATATAATATATAATATATTATATTTATTATATTGTATTTATGTGTATACGAGCGTTATGCCGCGAGTATTACGATTCGGTGAGTATAATGCAATATGTGTGAGATTTCTGAAAATATTCTTTGGCATATATTATATACTATCATTTATCATGGGTGGTATGCACAACTGCACAAGCGTTTATATTACTTAATAATAATATTATATTTATAACATAGCTATATAATAAATAATAAAATATGTTTTTTAAGGGGTCAAACGGTTTTCATTATTATTGTAAATGTGCTCAACTATAATATGACTGTATATAATATAAATATAATGTTTTTAAATTATGTATATTTTAATATGATTTGCTTCTCGAGTATATATTGTGGTGTGTGGCGCCGAAACCGCCAATAAAAAAATAAAAAATAAATAAAATTAAACCATTAATATGGCCGGCGAAAATATGAGTATTACCTGTGGGTTTTAATTATTATAAATTAAATTATAATAATAATACAAAGATGTAATTATATTATATTTTATTACGATCGCTGACACGAAATTTTGGACTTAACAAGTCTTGCTGTGTGTGCCCATACATAATATAAATTCGATCTCGTTATTGCGCAGGGTATAGTAATTATTATATTTGACAAAAAACAACATATAAATGTTCATTTTATTGTGTAGCACCATGCACTTCGATATTATAATATTCTATACATCCCTAGAAAATAATTAAACACAGTTTATATTAATTTATATTGTTGAATTTATAAAAAAAAGTAGCTACCAACTAATAGAATATTTGAAGTTTTCAAAAAAAATGTATAATACCTTCCTTACATTACTTAGTTTGTTATCCTATTGTATATATTTAGAGTAGTATATTATACATAGTTTTTATTCATAAGGTAACAGAAATTTAATAATACATAATTATATATATATATATGTCTATATGTATCAAAAAACATGTATTCGATGTTATGCTAAACATAGGTTTTTCAAATTGTATTGTTTTTGCAAAATAAGTACCTAAATTCCTACTAAATGTTGAGCATCACGTTATATTAATAGAACACAAAAATATTAAAATATAACTACCAACCCTTATATTTAACACATGTCACTTGAAAGTTGAAAGTGCAAGTAACTTAAAAATTGAACGGTATATGGTTGGGGGCTTAGTGCATGGCTTTCTCGGGGTTCTTAAATGGAGGGGCGTAGAAAAATTGATTACAATGTTAGCCGTGTGGTCGCAACCCACAATTATAACAATAGAACTTTAAATGTATACATGAAAATGTTTTCTCAAGAGTCGACTTATCGACACTGGTATATAGTGGTATACCGAATAAAATATCAAATAATTGATAAATGATAAATATACCGACGGGGAGAATTGAATTAATTTGCTTTCAGTTTTGCCTGCCATAATCCCGTTCAGCAAAAACGGTTTGAATAGGTATCTGTGTCAATAAAAAATACTAAAATGTAACAAGTTTTTATACGTTTAATGCTCGGCTCCAATATTAAACGTATACCTGTTATTCGGGATTATGAAAAACGGCCCATGGGGGGATTCATCCCCTATACATGCTCCCCCCCTTGAGAACGCTCACTGGTCGGGGGGGGGGGGTACAGTTAAGCGGGTATATTATTTTTTCCGATGCATGTACACACACACACACACACACACACACACACATGTATACAGACTTATATAATAAAACACACATTATATAAGTGTACTGTATGGGTATGTGACGATTGAGTTCGCACAAGCACTTCAGACAGTCCTCGAATACCGTTCTGGTCCTTTCCCATCGCCCCGTACGGTCCGTGTAGCGTTAAAGGTCGTCACACTCATATATAGCCATATAGGTATATGCACTTTATGCATATGGTACTATATTATTATACTACATAATATAATAACGTCTTCTGCTTTTTATTTTTCACCGCAACAAGACGTCATCATATCTGCACGAAGACCATGATATAATATACAAACATGCCCCCAGAGTAGTATTGCAGTGTAATATTCATATAATATATGATAAAATATAATATATGTAGGTACCTATAATACAACATACGAGTGTATAGTATATATATATAAATGATATGACGTATTATTGATATATATATATACTATAATAATCGGAATAAATCTCTCCCTCGACAGGAAAAATATGACGAAACCTTTCTTAGACGCATACACTGGCATTATTATATAACAATGCGTCCAGATTATTATAGTTTTCCTTTTCGTCCGTCCGGATCGGCGTTTCCGGCATTCGTGAAAAATAATCTTATATAGCCGGCACCGTTAGATATATATATAATACATGTATATGCGTAAAAATACACCCCCGCTATTAAATGTAACTATATATGTGTATAATGTTATACGGTGCACGTGTGTGTAGTCGTTATTAAAGGTATAGTCTTTCTTTATTGTGGATGTATCAACCGAATCGACATGTAGTCCGGTTTAGATACGCACCTATATACCGGTACACCCATTCTTATATATTTTGACGATTCGACTAGAAATTGATTCCAGTAGGGTTTGCGTCTTATAACGATATTATACACACACCACCCCGTTTCGGATAGTACGGATATTTTTTTTTATTGTAAACAAAAACTTAAATTTGTCGAGAAAAAACCTTACTCCAAAGCAGTTTTTACCGGAATCTATTCTAATAATATAAGTACATAACACTTACAATACACATCCATTTATATTTTATAACAACTTGAGATAGGTATTGTAGGCATCGTCGAAAAGTCAAGACTTTATTAAAAAATCGTTTGAAGCAAATTAAATTTATTGCATGTTATAATACGTTGTGACAAATCATAATATTATTCTTGTTTAGATCCATCCTTATTTATTTATTTATTTTTATTTTTACAGACAATGGCACCCAAAATCATGTTGCTGATCACCTTGTCGGTTGCGTCCGCCGTGCTAGTCTCCGCCGCTTCCCCGCCGTTCGTAAGTACATATTATATATATATATTTGATGTATATAATATATAATATACATTATACATTATTATACACCGTTTAGACATAATAAAAACCATCCGTCTGTCAAAAAAAAAATCTATATTTTACAAACACGCACCACGGGGGAATCTCATTTAAATTTTAATTGCCTCAGAGGCGACCGACTAATAACAATTATTATTATTATTATTATTAATACCTCCATTGCGGCGGCATATAGTTCGTCACGTTTCCCAGGCGGACCTCCTATATTTCTCGACGTTATATTATTTTCTATATATGCGTTTAATTAATCGTAATTCATAATTTATGTATAGGTATGCATCTGTATACCTATATATAAGCGTATATTTAATATTTTAATAATATATATATACGTACGCACTATATATAATAAATGCGTATATATATGTTTATACATTATGCTATATGTGTAATAGAAAAATAATGATCGTCGGCTACTGTTGTGTTATGCGATATATATTATATTATATAATATGAAGTGCCGCGGCTGTAAAAACGCAGACGGAATTGTATATACGTAATATATAGGGTACCGGTTTCCCGGATAATACGCTCGGTGAAAAAACGAAATAAAATAACGATTCGCTGAAAACGACGACGGAACCGTAAAATATTGGACCGGCCGTTATATTATTATTATTACTATTATCATAACATATAATATTATTACATTATGACGTACACGTGTTCGCCTCGAAGACCGGATCACGTTTTGGAATGCACTTTATATTATAAAATAATATAATATTGGCCGCCGTCGGGTGTGAATTTGACATTGAATACCATTAGGTTTGCCGGCGGTGTGTAGTGAGTACCTACCTCTATGTATACATTTAAAAACATATACATATATATATATATATGCCGTGTACGTGTAGCGGTGGTGAAGTAAGTATATATAGCGGGGGGAGTAACTCTTATGAGAATAATAAAATTCTATAATTTCGACATTAAAACGCATTAAATTATTATGTATCTCAATAAAAAATTAACTCGAACCCATCTTACCTAGTCCATGTGTAGAAGAGGACTGAAATTTCATAGTGTCATTAATACGATTATACGCGAGCACGTTAACACATCTTAAAAGCCATCCGTGCCGGCGCAAAGGGAACATCGTGACGACGCCAGTGTTGTATTACTGTAAGCAATTTTAATAAAATCTTAACTTTCCAATAAATCTTTTGATTTTTATTCAAAATTTAAATACATAGTAGTTACGTGTTGGTATATCAATGAAATACTTGGAATGTACATGGTGTATAAAAAACTCCGTATATAGACTGCACCATGATACAGTAATAATATGTAAAAAATAATATAATAATAATATGTATTATATTATATTTTGATGGTTAATGAATTGTGAAAATCTAAAAACGAATTGATGTCAAAGGAAATTTGAAACTTTTATTACTACCTACTTTAAAGTATGTTTAAAGCCCTCTTAATCGATTCTTTTTTAATTTTTATTTCATATGGTTGCTTTTTCTGCTATATTACTTGAAGTTCCTTAATAGTTAACTTAATGTATACACCTGTTAGTTGTTACCTACCTATTTCCATGTGTCAAGCGTATGACACACTTGAATTAATATCAAAAAATACCTTCAACTTGAGGTTTTAAAATTGTGTGTGTACCAAAGTTATTGTGTTACCTATATTATAGTAATTATTATACGAGAAAAGCGAATTTGTTCAACAAAAAAAAAAGTAATGGGAAAAAATATAATTTAACAATATGGTTGGTTATATTATTAGGTATATGTGATGAAATAAACTATAACGTACCAAAACGTAATAAATAACTTTTTACTTAGAACATAATCCATTATACATACTTGTATAGCTAGGTTTATAGTGTAGCCTTGAATGTATACGAGAATGTTATTTAAAGTCATGAAAAGCAGCTCCTTTTTTCATTCGTACTTATAAAGATTTTCTCATTGGATATATAATATTATCTTCTCCAAACTATACGTCGAAATACTAACCATACAGGTACTATAATGCTACGTACCTACTGAATATGTCTAAGTACGTCATGTGTGTGTGTATATATATATGTATTGTATGTACACATGTATGTATGTATGTATTATACGATCAGTCATATTGCAGTTGTATATGTCCTAAAAGCTATATTATATCTAGGTGACCTTTCGCATCTGTGTATATTCACACAGTATAATATTATTGTAATAAATAATAAATGACTGTATGATAATGCTTAAAAATTAAAACGCACTGTAATAACACAATACGATTGTATCCATGTATTAGATATACCATTATACAGTTAAAAGGTCGTTTTATTTTACTATTTATTTCCGTGACAGAACAATTTATTTCGATCCACTCTCCGCGTGTAAAATGTAGTAACTTCTTTACTACTTATAGCGGATGTTGAATAATTTATGTGAGACGCCGAAGCTACAATAGTATTAGGTGTACCTACCTGCGTATAATATGTATAGTATTTTATAATATTATAAAAAGCAAAGCGCCTTCCGAAACTAACAAGGTGGGCCTTGTTAATGGATTTTTCTTGCAATTATATAATGGAGTGTAATACAAGAATATCAATTAAGAACCGCGCCGTGAACTGGTATAATTTTTTCGATACATATGTATATTTAGGTATATATTATGAAATGTGTTATAATATTATAATGTAGTAGGTAGGTACGTATTTTAAAATTTAACGCACGTGGTACTTATATAATATTCATAATAATATAGCGGTAAGACTTTTCGTCGAACATTCTGATTTTGGCACGCTGCAAATCCGTTGACGAGTCTCCGCCATTTATAAACGGACCGCGAACGTATACGTGAAGATATTATTAATAATAATTGATGTACGCGATGCGACTTTTGACGGTCTCCTCGCCGCGAAGCCATGTAAATATTATAATATTGTGTTATACGAACGTTTAAAGGCATTCTACGAGATTAATTTATGGTCACGGGTGTGGTTTTTACCAGAGACCACCGTTGGCGCCAATGGTATACACACTATACAAGCACTACACAGTACACCGCAACGAACGTACGAACTAAAGAACAAAACGGTTACACGAAGTGGTTTTTTCGTAGCCGACCAGCATCGATCGAGATGCAGTGTTTTATTTTATAATCTCGTGTGGTTTGGCCGTTTGGATTTCATCGTATCTCGAGTATATACATGTCACATGGTAGTATGTACATATATAAGGTCAATACTCTGGAGAGGCGCACTTTACGAGTGTATATAACATATAGGCATAAAAGTGTAGTAGAAAGTACATTTTTTCCGATTTGACTTGGTCTACAAAAACAAAACATTAGTATAACTTCTTGAATGTACACTAGTATATATCATATATCGATCTACGATGAAAATATATCGGACAGGGGCGAGTAGAATCACCGCCTCGGCTGACAGAAAAAAACGGAAATGAAAACGTGTCGAAACGATTACCCACCACGTCTCTCCCTGCACATGGCCACTCTATGCTGTATATAATATAGTATTGCTGACGTGTTCACAAGTCACTACTATACTACTACGTCGGTGCAGTGCACGAATATGAGGTGTCAACGAGACGGTATGAAACCAAACTTGTATAGGTATACCGTAAACACGTTATTCCGTCTCGAGTTTCTTGGCCGGAAACGCGAGAGCGATCCAATCGATATATCTCATAAACGGACGACGGTTTTACCATCCCTTATTCTGGAGAGCCACCTCGGGAGACATACCCGCAAGCTGCGCCGATGACCGGAGGACGCTGCTCGTGTAATGGTCCGGAAACGTTGACTGACGGGGATGTCACGGTCGAAAAAGTGCATAAAAAAGCCGAATGAAAGAGTCGAGAATATAAGTGCGTGATTTACTAATAGCTCAGTGGGGCCGCGAAGGTGATCCAACCGCGTAACCGCACCCTCTCGTCTCACCGAAGGGTGAAGACGATTCGAGAACCTATCAATTTTTTATTTCCACATTAATAATATACAGATAAAAAAACTACCTAATAACAATAAAGATGTTTATCTGCTCAGAGTGCATAGCGAGTGCATATTATTTCTCCGTCGTTTGTACATAATGCGATTGACAAATGCGCATCTTGATAACGCGCGGTGATAACAATATACGTTTTGAAGCATTTGAACGAGTTTTTTTTGTCTTTAAACGTTTTACGCGTTTTCGTAAAAAAACGAGTATCACCGTGACTTGTTTTTCATTACGATGACATCATATACTTATACTCTAACGTCTCTAACTATTTCGAGATACAACAACGGTGGTTAGGTTTATTATTAATAATAATGCACTCGCGTAGGATTTCAGTGTAAACATATCTGGATTTTAATCCAACGGCCGGGCCCGATGTGACTATACATGTATACTCCAGCTGCGTCAGTCCGTAGCCGCGAGTTTACGGGAGGGTTACATTAGACAGGTACCTAACATTATGTTTTAAGAGAAAATTATCCCCTGCAACATTGCGTTCTCAAAAGTCATTATTTTATATACCGATGATGGCAGTAAAAAACGAAATAAACTATTACAGACGAGCGACTCGCTCTATATACTATACACAGTCTATATAGGTATCGTCGGTGCCCAAATAGTACCTACGCGTATATATCAATCGATTATTGGGTGTAACGACTTATGGTCGTCGTCGTTGTGTTGTAATGTTCTCGTGGTCGGTGGGTTTCAATAACTCGTGAAAATAATAATATTATAATACCTGCACAACGCCTAAAGACAAATGTAATAAGTTATAAACCACGTATATATAATATTATGGTACAGCCGAATGCCACGCCAGTTTAATACCAGAAATCACTATGTGCCTGTGCTACGATATCATTGAACGACACGCTCTGCGCCGCCTTATTATATAGCCGGAATCATCGACGATAAATAATAGAAATATTCGTATACGATGTGTGTACGCGCTGCATATTATGTAGGCATAATAATTATTCACGAAATTAAAATTAATAATTCTAGGTGGTATTTCATTTTTATTTTCATCTATTAAATATTAATTACACTCGTGATCGTCTTGTACGATCAGAGACCGCAATCGACAAATATACGAATATAAATAATATAATATAGTATGCCTGATTTATACTTATGTACAGCTGCACATACGTGTCCTGCAGTTTTAATTATGATGAGTGACGATTTGTTTCATAAAATAATTTTTGTTTTAATAAACATTTTTTTTTTGTTTTGCACATTGTTTTAGTATAGGTACTAAAGGTACTTATATAAATATGAATGTCATTAATCATAACCGTACGGTGACTGTAAATAATATGTCGTTATAAGACGTACCTATCTAAAGCTATAACATCGTGAAAATATTATCTGAGAAAAAAACTCATCATCACGGGAAACGAAATATTTCGAAAACACGACTATATGTATGTAGCTTTAGTAACTTAATTGAAAATAGTAGGAGTTTAAACTTTTAAGACATAGTATTAGAATACCTAATTTTGATTTTTGTTTTGAATCTCAATATCAACAAATATTGTAATGGATATCTCTTAAATAATTGTAATTTTTACTATACATTTCTTTTTTGTTTAATAATAGTTTAAAGTATATATCATAATATTATCTATACTTGTTACATATTTGAAGTGTTTAAATATTTAAAATTAATAATTTGTCTCATTTTAACTTAGCGATAAAATGTTAGAGTTTCAGATATCGATTATAAAAATAACTTTAAATGTAAACGATTTTAATTCCGATGAACTAAATAGTATGTTAGACTTCCGGTGGTATTATTATTATATATTACTTGGAAATTACAATTATTTTACTATTTTTAAAGTAAAAATTAATGAATTAAATTGTTAATTACCTCATGATGGTATAACCTTAATTATTATTTACTATCTTACCTCTAATTTGCTTAAAATCGGCCGGGAGTAATTAAAACTAAAACGTGCCTGAAGAGGTTCATTCATTTGTTATAACTTATAACTTATAATTAATAATTATTGCGCTTTATATTCAGTAGGAAGAAACCTTGCAATCAGTTTGTGAATTGTGTTTCAGATACATTGGCTATACTGTAGTCCCAAGTGCTCCAATTATTTTATTATAATATTATGTAATATTGCGTAAATCATCTTTTTATATATATAGGTGAATATTATAAGTATATTCCTGTACGTAGTATCTCCTTACGTATATACTTATATACTTATATATAGCTGCAGTTTGATGCTCCGAACATTTTTTAGTATTACAATATTAATATATACACTTGTAAAAACGTTGATCTCCGTTCAGATTATACTTCAGAGGAAGAGATTCCGCAATTGTATTCTATAAACGCGCGCATACCCTCAAAAACCACTAAGAGGTTGTGAACTGAAAAAAAAAATCGAAATGAATCGAGATGAAATATCGTTGTGATCTCTTACAATGAAAACATAATATCACTTGTGTTGTAACTACAGTAGTCGCTGCTATCTCGGCGGAAAAAATACCCCCCATATTGTTGTTGCAAAACCAAGAGATTTAACATTGCTTTCGGTTTTGAATTTTTTTCCGTAAAACTTATTATACATTATACATATATTATACCTAATATGATATAGATATCTACGCGCGACTCTTAACGTTCATCGCATCGAGTCCCCCGACCCCGTTCGTCTTCACAATCATTGACGTTTTTTTAAGAAAACGCGAGAACATGATATAATATTATATACTTCATACGAACACCACGATATGAACGATAATGCTAATAATAGTCTTGTTGGTGACACGCGTTTTTCGAGTTTATTATTTTCGTCTCTCGAACATCCGTCGCGGGAGCGATATATAATGCAGTTGTAGCAAGAGAAAATAACAACGATAATAATGATGATAAATGATAATAATAATAATAATCGATCGGTATATAGAATTTAAGACGCGGACACGTCGCCAATGGGTAT